TGTGGACTGTGGACTGTGGACTGTGGACTGTGGACTGTGGACTGTGGACTGTGGACTGTGGACTGTGGACTGTGGACTGTGGACTGTGGACTGTGGACTGTGGACTGTGGACTGTGGACTGTGGACTGTGGACTGTGGACTGTGGACTGTGGACTGTGGACTGGGGACTGTGGACTGGGGACTGTGGAGGTGGAGATTGTGGACATCTACTTTTTATAATTTTAAATAATTATAATTTATATGTATTTGCATGGCCTTCAAAATAAAAATATACTTTTGACTATTTGTACGACTCCCAAGTCTCAGGCTATGTACCTAGGTTTGTTTTTAGAAGGCTATGCTATGTGTTCTAAAAATTTCTATCTTTATCAAAATGCTCGCCGTTTCGGACTTCGGACATTTGAATGCTATATGGCTAGATAAGTAATTAATATGGCGCGGCTGACGAGGCTGTCAATTTCTAATACAAAAGCAAAAATTAGAAATCCAAAAAAGGGCTTTCCTTTTCAAATATAATTATATATTTATAAATACGTTTAGAACGTATAAAAATCGACACGTTTTTACGTTCAACATTTGCGGTGGTGTGTTTGGTTCTAAATGCTTGTTAAAGGTGCAATATTTCGGTTCTGAGGTGCAATATATGACGATTTTTTCCTCGTGTAGTCTGATTATTTTCCATAATAGGTTTAGCCGTACTACTGCACGTATACGTGCATATATTTACGCTCAACGTATATGTACACGGAACTACTATAACGTATTGAGATTTGACGGGAGCACTAGCAACGGGAGTGGAGCAAAATTGGGTTAAAAGAAAAACTAGAAACTATTTTTTATTGACCCTTTCCCGCGTTCTTTCCAACCAACAAATGATTGAAAATCAAAACAAATCCGATTGTCGTTCGGTCAGAAATCAAGCAATGCCTCATTGCCCCAGAGATTGACAAATGACAGCCAGAGAAGAAATTATACAGGCAAACATGGTCATAGGCATATACATTCTCGTATCGTATAAAAGGACTAGCTATATCTGTATACATGAACCATTTCACCGCACTGTGTGCTTAGTCTACCATTGAAACTAGTTATACTACTACACTATGACTATCCTAGTTGCTGGCGGTGCCGGTTATATCGGCTCACACACTGTTGTCGAGCTTCTCACAAAAGGTGAAGACGTTGTTGTTGTAGACAATTTACTGAACTCCAAGGAAGAGTCCCTCAAGCGCGTAGAGAAGATCACAGGCAAACCTGTCAAGTTTGTAAAGTGTGACCTGCTCGATAGTGAGGGATTGGACAAAGTGTTTGCGGAGTACAAGCCCACATGCGTCATCCACTTCGCCGGTCTTAAGGTAAAGAGTTTGAAATCTATTGTGATGCGCAATGCACCTGCTGTGTTGCATAGCTCAGTGCCATTTTGTGTATTACGAGGTTGAGCTCGCCATGGTTTGATTCGCAGAAGTTATAAGGTGTGACCGTGACTGGTTTCTTAGCTCATCATTAATTACACTCTCGCTGTGGCATCTCATTGCAAGTGATGACGTCTGCATGTATATTCATGGTTCTGTTGTATTGACGGACGAGACTCGAAACGGTACCCAAGCGTAAGTTATGGTCATTCTTTCTCCGTCACATTGGTGTTGCTGCATTAAGCATGTGAACTGAACTAGTTTCCGCTTCTCACGTTCTGTTATGCTTTTTCTCTTTGGTTTCTAGATGAATGTTGTCGTCAACTGTTTGTGCAAGAGTATATATGGTTATTCGTTGTAGTCGTATGAGCAACGCTACTTCACATGTGATATATACATTGGGTTATCTTATATTTCCAGTTTTTGGCTATTTCTTCTCGCATGCGCTGTTTGCCATCAGTAGAACAGGGTATATGAGCACTCCTACCAGCCAATCTGATATTGACAAATGAGTTCTGCTTATTAAAGTGACTGATAATGACACGATTCGCTCGATTCTATTCTCAGGCCGTAGGCGAGAGTGTTGCTAAGCCAATCTGGTACTACCACAACAACATCACCGGCACACTTATTATGGTAGAAATCATGAAGAAGTACAACTGCAAGAATATCATCTTCTCGTCGTCCGCCACCGTCTACGGAATGCCTCAGTACCTACCCTTGGATGAGGATCACCCTCTATCATGCACAAACCCCTATGGCCGCACTAAGCTGTTCATTGAGGATATCCTGCGTGACTTATATATTTCCGACAATGAGTGGAACATTGTGTTGCTGCGATACTTTAACCCTACTGGCGCACACTCGAGCGGTACGATCGGTGAGGACCCAAGCGGTGTCCCTAGCAATCTGATGCCTTATGTTGCACAGACCGCTGTCGGTCGACGTGAGCACGTGAACGTGTTTGGCGGTGACTACGACACGCCTGACGGAACTGGAGTTCGCGATTACATTCACGTTGTGGATTTGGCTAAGGGTCACGTTGCTGCCCATGATCGTATTAAGGTATAAATGTTTTGTCTCAATATTCTGTGATTTAGAATTCTTCCATTATAGCTGGACTTTCCGGTTTTCAGTTTTTATTACTTTTCGTTGCTGTGTATGTTTCGTCTTGCAATTTGAAAAGTACGTTCGCCTTCTTGAACCGTGTTGTATTTTTTGACAATGTTGTGCATATGCATAATGTCTCAGTGAACACGTCATATTAGACAATATGCACTCAACCAGCCTCTTATGTGAAACTGAAATATTTTTGTATGATCTTAACTGCCACGTACCGTATTTTGTGCTTAAGAGGACTCTGTAATAAGGTTCGTAAATTCTCCTCGCGGATTGTAAACTTTTGCGTGAGGGTGGGTTATTGATCACATTATATCCTGAGCTACTTGAGGTTAATTCATTGCCTACTTGATCCTCTTGCAGGAAAAATGCGGTTGCAAAGTATACAATCTGGGTACGGGAAAGGGATATTCCGTGGTAGACATGATCAAGGCTTTTGAGAAGGCGTGTGGTCGCGATATCAAATATGTAGTAGGACCCCGCAGACCCGGAGATGTTGGCTCGTGTTACGCCAAACCCGATCTTGCGGCCTCAGATCTGAAATGGACTGCTCAGCTAGGTCTAGACGAGATGTGTGCCGATATGTGGAGATGGCAGCAAATGAACCCAAATGGCTTCAACTAAGTGGTTTTCCTAATTGGTGTCAAGGTTGAGCAGGTGAGATGCTTCTCAGTCTTCGATGGCCAAATCATTCAATTACCTAGACCGGATCTGGAAAGAAAAATCAATTAAAACACCTCCGTAGCATACTGACCTAGTCTCGTCTTTATTACTACTTGACAAACTCAATCACTATTTCGACACAATATAAGTACAAGTTAATATAGCTTTGAAACTAAAGCAAAATAGTATTGGACCATATCTTAAATTTGATTGTTATCGATTTTTTTTTATCGCGAACTGGGTTATCTGTACCCGAAGTCTTATCCGACATGTGTAGTATGCGTTTGCCATGACCTGTTGCAGATTATTGACTTAATCGGCGCCCGTTTCCTGGTTACGCTTTATTTTACCTTCACTGCAGATTGCTATGCGATATAAGGGATTTTGTGATGGGTGACGATATTCTAAGATATGTTATATGTCTGTTGCTTCAGGTGACATCTTTGCTAATTCACATCTTACAACTACAGAGCGAGAACACAGTTATGCTCTGAGCTTTTGACCGCAGGTACACTGAGTGTATATAGGTATTAGCAGCACTAACACTGAGTGTAATGGATAGAGACACCGAGTGTATCTAGTATTAGCTGCACTAACACTGAGTGAATTTTATTGGCCTCCGCATCTTTTTAAAGTTTCAGTACGAACCGCGATGTCTGTGGCTTACTAAGATGCTGTATTATGAGCGAATACCAGCTTTCTGTGGCAAGTCACCTTTACGCACCGGACAACATTAAGCACCGACATAGGCGTACAAGCGACGCCCTGTATTTTGGGTTGTTCCATATGTGATCATGTCCGACACTATGGTACGCATCGCACATAGTAGGGTACGATAATTCATTAGGCCTCACACGGCATTTTTGAGACTGAATGCGGCGGTCGAATGTCTCGAAGGGCCCGAAAGGTACGAAATCGGATGCGCGTGTATCGTTCGTGTGATCCTTTGACACCAGCGATCCGCGCCTGTTGTTCCGCCGTCTACGGCACATAAACACCAGCAAGACTAAAAAGGGGACCAGAACCAATAGCACCCCGATAACTAAACCCGCAATTGCAGCCCCGGTTAGAGTACCAGCGCTGCTATTCGCTACCAAGGTCGAGCCCGAGCCCGAGCCTGAGCCCGAGCCCGAACGCGCCTCAGAGCTTGGTCCCGGACTTGAAGTGGATGTTTCGGCGTCGCTAGCGACTGGTAGATCTATGATGCGGCTAGTGGTAACCTCCGATGTCGGTGAGGTCCCGGACGAAGCACTCGCACCGGCGGCAGTCGGACTTGCGTCTGTCACAGATGGGAAGAGTAAGGTCTGGGTACTAACCGGTTCAGCGCTATCTGCACCGATCGGGTTGTTCGCCGATGTGGACAGCGGTTCTGAACTTACCGTATCGCTCACACGTTCACTCTGTGTGTCGGAAGATACGCCGGTGGCCATCGCCACAGCTTCGTCTGATGATAATGATTGTCCTCCGTTACTGGTACCAATAGGACCTGATAAACCTGCGCCGGTTTCTGTTTGAGTGATTGTGCTGGTGCTTGCCCACGTTTTGGTAGTAGCTGTACCCGTAGCCGTCGTAGACGATAAGGTAAAAGTTGTCGCTGGAACCGAAAATTCCGAGGCCTGCGAGCTTGATATAGCGATACCCTCGTCAGCACTCAAACTTTGTGAAGTACGTCTACCGCTGTTACTCGCTGCATCTATAGTAGTGGATGTGGATACGGTATTACCTTGACCGCCTGATGGAACAGTGGGTGTCTGAGATGTCAAACCCAATGCCGTTGTAGGCGAAAGCACCATAGGCGTGGCACGTGTTGTAGATCCTCTGTCCGATACGACTGTGTCCAGGCTGATAGATGGTGTCAGTGCTCGATCCCCAGAGTCCTCGGCCTCCAGCTCTGTTCCATCTTCGGTGCTCGTGTTTACGGTGGGTACCGTTTCGATATCTTCTGCTCCGGAAAGCCTCACAGTATGAGAAGAGCCATCGCCTGCCAATTTGAGAGTCGACACAGCGTCTCCGCTGGCATCTGTTAAATAGATTACGTATGCATTGAAATGAGAAACATGCTGGCTGATGTGCAACAGTAAGTGCACCAAACTATGCTTCCGCAGCCGATGAGATGCAATATAAACGGACATGATTAAGTCGAATGTGCTCGTTTTGCAGTGCGATGAACGAGAACGTTAGAGGTTATCACTTAACACGTACCACTAACACCCCGGCGCCTGTCGTTTTGTTGCGGTTGGAAGTCATATGCACCATCAGTGTCTGTGTATGTGACTTTTGTATCGCACTCGCTCTGGGATGTCACCTCCAGCGCTACCGGCCTACCCTCAAGGTATTGTATCGTTCCTTTAATTTGACATAGATCACGGCTTTCCAGCTGTCGATACAGCTCGGCAAAGTCATCCATTTTGTACGTGTATATACTGTTTCGAGCAGAAAGAAGTGAGGTTATGAGTATCATTTATCCATATTACTGGGCATGGACCAGAGAATAATCACTTGTGTCTGGTAGGACCAAGAAACCAAAACCACAATATTCGATAAATTTGATTGATAGTCAGTACTGAAAGAGCTTAGTTGGCGATATTGAAGGATTCGGTCTCGAAAGCATCAATATTAGACAGCAATATTGACAGCACATTTCGTCCAAATGACAGACATCCTTCAAAAAGCATCATGCAAGCAGTAGAACACTTCTAGGTGTGCTGGTGAATGCATGCATAGAACATGTATACGTCACTGGCATACTTACGGGAAGTTGGTGTACGCCTTGACCGCAGCCAGTGCAGAATTCACCCACTCCTGCAACAAAGATGTGCCGGCCTTAAATTGTTCTAGATTCGCCGGGTGAAATTCACTGCAGCAAAAACGAGCAAGATCGTATGTAAAATTGGAGTGTACATGCGTGGATGCGCGTTGATGTTCACCTGCAGAACATGGTTTGCGCATGTTTTAAGCGACGACAGACTCTTTCGTACGTCTATGTTTACTTCCCTTCTTGAAGATCTCAATTTACATGAGCAGATAACAGCTAGACACATCAACAACCGCAACAGTTGTTTATCTTGTGGTTAACAAAGAATCGTCTGATGTACACGCTCATCTCGCCATCAATGCCGCGACTCGTCCAGAAACACAGGTAGAACTCGCGCCAATTGAATCAACTTGAAAATTTATCTGTAGAAACTTACGTATACAACATCACTATCGAACAACATACTATGGTTCCCGTCGGAAAGATAGCATGTTCCTGGCGACCTCAAACCCTTCCAGCTTCATGATATCCTCATAGTTATGCCTATCCTTTCTTCTGTACACAGCGCCATTTAATTTTCGTACCAATTGACGGGGTGTAGATACGCCATGGTATATTCTCGTAGTCAGCCGAGGTACGATAGTGACGGACGATGTGCCGTACTTGTCGTGCATGCGTTTTTGGAATGCTTCCGCGTCGACGCCCTTCAGCACATTGCCATTCTCGTCTGTAGAAATGAAGAAAGTCGCGCACGTACAGTTAATATTCTTAATTCCTTGGCCGATATCATTCGCCATCCCTTGCCTGCCTTTATGCTGCTTGTCACTGTAAAATATAGGTCCGGACAAACACCATTTAGTAACCCTTCTGTGCACGGTCACAGACTGATTTACTTCATCGTTTGTATTCAATTCACACACATGTATCAAACACTCGAATAGCCCTACACACCGAAACAATATGTAACGAGATCATGTATGTGTGATACTACGATCATTCCAAACGTGGCAAACATCTGGAGTGACACAAGTATCAATAAATGTGTAGACAAGCCCAAGAACAAAATTCACACTCTTCTGCTGAGCGAATTACAGAACATGTGAGAGCTTGATGACCGCATGTCGCAAACTATTACTAAATTATAGTTTTAGAAATCAATAGGCTTACCTCTTAAACCCGACGGTGTCTGAGAGTGCCAGGGCGAAGAGCAAGAGTATCCCTGCAGCAAGTCATCACCCACCGTGTTGCGATATCCCATCTATGAATCAATATTGGTGGAATAACAGCGCCGAATGTTGGTACATATTTTAATATACTACATCGAAGTATGTTTGCGTCCAAGTACCAGTTTTAATGCCCGAGTGCTTTGATCCTCCTGGGACAGCCACACAAAGTGTATCGATCAGTTTTCACGGCAAATACATAACATACTTAGGATATATATACATATGTGAAAATTCGAGAAAGAACACATGCGTCCATTGGAACCGTAATCTAAAGAATGACCACGGGCGTTGCACTCCTTGCTTTTCTAAAGTGCACACGCCAACATTCGAAACATACCCTCAATATGTCGTCAATGGTTGATGTATAGTTGAGGCCATCTGCAGACGGTATTATGAAGGCCAAAGGTGACCAGCTGGTTTCAGCATGCTTGCTTTCTCTGAACACCGAGTTGGCAGTTTCCCTGATACGTTCTATTGTCGACTCGTCCACCTCTAAGTCAGTAGATGCGGTCACCCACACAAAGGCGGCCGCTATATCTGCCATTGCATCCTCCACTCTTGAACCACAATCACTGCCATCAAATAATGGTGGCTCTGCTGTGTAATTTGATCCCGTGGGCAGGTGCATATTCATATCATCTTGAAGTTGACTTAATGCGACGAGATTCGACACATCAAGGTGCTGTAGTGCCTGACACCGGTGGTGAGTTTCGGATTCAAAAAAATCGAAATCGAAGGCATCCCCTTGGGTTGCAAGTGATACTCGTCTTTGCCCGAAAAATAAGCCCTTCGTTACCCAGGGCATGAATATGTGTCCTAGAGTAATACCGTGCGTGTAGACTCACATCTCCAGTGGGCAGAAAGAAATGAAGTGTCTCTCTCGATGTTGTGGGGTCCGTGATGACTAATGCCGCGATGCTTCGAAATGTGCGGTCGCTATCTCCTCTGCAAGGGTGCTCTGCGTCAACCACGGGTATTATATGTGTATGCTTATTCTCTGCGCAAAGTAAGCGTGCAGGTGTTATCCGATACTCTGACCACCTCGTCACCTCGCCTCCAACCAGTATTTCATACAACATTGCGTATCCTATCCGCTATTTCATTGTCAGCTGTCATCAACTTCACATCGGTGGCAAAGACAACCTGTTCTTCCGCTCCAACTGCTGGATCGTAGATATCTCTAGGATTACTATCTAGAATCACTGTTCGGACATTGTACGCTATGCAGTAATCGTCCAATTCTGCGGCTGCCTCTGGCGTGAGTGCAATCTCCCTTTTTAGATTGAACGAACCACCATTCACAGTCTGGAAACCGAGATGAATACTTGTATGATAGCGTTGTACTTAGGATCATTTGTGACAATGTCAAATAACTCAAATGATAATTTTGTGTGATTTATTGTAGTATTTATTTCCTGCGTGACACACAAAACTTCATCGTCATACTGTGTAGAACAATCCGGGTAGTTGAATTCAACATTTTGTGTCAAACTCAGCACGTCGTAGTCATGCCCATATGACTGCGCTAGCCATTCGGGCAAGGCTTCTAATTTATGTGGATGACCAACACTTTCATTCCGATCATGTAATCTCGCTTGGTTTCTTTAGTATGAGTTTCATGCGACAGTGACTGGTCAGTATCGCCCAAGGCCAGGGTAGGCAGGCACATCAATGTCATCGTCTTCAATATTATTGCTTTTGACATACTTACGGTGTCTATTGTTGTTGACTGTAATTTGTATACTCTCTTGTGAGTGGGGGAATGAACTAAAGCTGCATTTAGAAGGTTTTGGACACAAATACACAATCAACACGATATCGGTCTTATGTATGTATAAGTTTGGTTTCCCAGACCGTGTATCGCTGATAACTGTTCTCTTTCTCACCAAGATCGTGACATAAGTCACTGAAATGACAGAGATTTACAAAGGAATGCAAAACTCCATCTTTTACGTCACTACCAATTAATAAACATCGAAAATAATTGGTCAAAAATTATTGCTAGCTTTGGCAATTGGCATTGTGTAAAGTGTACCACTGGGCAACTGATGTCACTTCGCACTTGAGTCGGTATGCAAATACAAGGCGTCTAGTCGCTTATTAAAATTCATGATGATTGTGTATATTTTGACCCTATGGCAAATAATAGATTTGAGACAAAAACTACACAGCAGAGCATGGAAGTGGCAACTTCATGGAGACTGGCCTAGACACGCATCGATATACAGTGCTGGCCGCCCATCGAGCTATGCTTCAGTATTATATATAACGATTTTAGCAGAATATTGTTGGGGGGGCTTTTTAAGTGCACAACTATAACTCCATATTAACCTAGTTTTAGCACAAACCGAATCTCCCAGAAGCTGCAGTGACATTGCGATAGCCTAACATCAGCGAGAACTGGGGAAATTAGACTACGATGTAGATTTTTACTATCCCGGTCACACAACTATAGACTATATAAATTATAAGGACATCTCTCAAAGCAGTCAGAAGGTGAAGCGCATATCACGTTGAAAGGGCCATACTCCGTGACATGCCAGTCGGCCAGATCTGGACTGTACACTCACACGGTTCAAAACGTACTACTGTTGGAGAGCCTGAATGCGAAAGCCTTGTGGTTTTATCAACGCCGAGGTCTGAACAATCGGATTGTATTTACACTCATCAATCATGATAACTGATATCAGAGTTAAATAAGACCTAATATGTGCGATCCAAGTCTATTCGTAGCTCATCCGAGAGTATAACGTGAAGCGGCCACCCGTATCCCTCATGCAGATTTTTTATGAATTGAAGTTGATGTCCCAACATAATAGCCACTTCAATTGCGAGTCTTTTTGTTTCAAGCACAATAAAACAGGATCCGTGCGCCCGTACAATACATTCTCGTATTGTAGTCATACGTTCACTGTCCTCGGGTTGGTTCTGTTCTGACTGACAAATATTGTTGAATAAGCATACTATTGCCATACAGATAACCTCCTGCATGGCTATCTTGATGGTATATATTTAAATTTTTTTCTTTCCATCTCTAGAGGGTCATTCCTTCTGAGGATAGTATACATCAGTCCACATAATGAGGAACATACGCTTTCTAACAAAGCCCTTTCCCGGGATTTAGATTTGCTTTCCAGAACCCTTTTACTCTAATAGTATATCATTTATAAAATTCACCATGTACACGGCCCACATATTAATAATTTCCTTTTTATTGTACAAGGTGTAGTATTTATCATGATGGTCAATCTCGTCTTGTTGGCTTGAGAGGCAATTGATTGAAGTCACCGAATTCTTGCTCTCTCGAGCTATTTTCTACCCACAACCTACTAAGGATCAAAGTAAATGGGATGATAACTGACCAGCAGGTATAACTGTCTCATATTTCTGAGTCCTTACTCTAGTGGGGGGAGCTCGTCATCCTGCAGAAGATTAAGTACAATGAGAATATACATTAGCAAAGCTCCAAGGAAACATAAAACTCACCAAAACTTCAGTAAATTTCAAATGTACTGTGTAGGGAATAATGCGCTATTGAAGCAACTGGAGGAACTAATCACATAAGTGACGATGGAAACAAAAAATATCGTCACAAATCCAACCGTTATAACCACATACATCATCATCTTCCTCAACACTGGCGCCGGCGGCGGCGGAATCCATGTATTTACTGAAGTCAGGGGTTCCCTCGCCATCCTCACCACTTTCAGCCTTCATCTGGCCCATCAACTTTTGTAACTCAGCCATCTTGCTCATATCCATACCTAGTTGTAGGTTTGGAAGTGAATGTATGATTGAGTGATTTTTTTATGATCGAGATCCAAGTTGAAAAGCACTCGCATACCACAATCGTGGATGTTCCGCTCCAATGCTACGATTATTCCTAATACAAAATCAATGGAATCTTAAATTGTATTCCACTATATACTACCGAATAGGTATATTCCATAACAACAAACCGAAAAATCACTCTTCAGACATACCTTCCATACCGGGCATGCCTCCCATACCACCGGCACCAGCACCAGCACCACCGCCCATCTGTGCCATCATTGAAGCCTATTGGAAAGAGCAACATAGTCAAAATTGAGTAAAACGCCTCATGCTTAGGCCCTTTACTATGCAGCTTTTCTACGTACGCCCGACAGTGATTTCCTAATAAACTAAATCGAGAACATCGTATCATATCGCATTGCATCACAATTACCACACAATCAAGATCAATATGAAATTAAAAATTCATTATTTGTGCCTCATACACCCGACAGTTAAAACTCAAGAAGCGATTATTTTTTAAACGCTTTTAGTAGAAAACAGAAATCACTCTGACAGCAAATATACATGGTACAAATCTCCATACCACAGATGTCGAATACTAAACATGGTACTACTATTAAGGTACTGCTAACCGAATATACAAGTAGTACGCATCAATAAAGGCTAAACTGCACAGACCGTACCAAGTCCTCTCATACCGCTGCTCCACTTCAAAGAAATTATGTTAAAAGTCTATACGACACAGTTATATTTCACAAATATTCAGAGATCACAGCAGCACAAACGTACGTACCACGGCCATACCTCCCATGTCACCAGCTATTTAAAGCAAGGACAGTGAACGTATCTACAGTATAACAATATGATATTTATATACATTTAAAGTATGTCAATCATAGCACAACATCACTTACCATGTCCATGCCTCCCATACCGCCGTCACCACCCATTCCTCCCATACCACCCATTCCTCCCATACCGGGCATATCACCACCACCCATTCCTCCCATGGCGCCGGACATATCCATCTCAGGCTCCTTTAAAGACGGTATACGGAACATATAAAATTAGGTGTGAGCAAATTGTGGCATGTTACTGTTGAATATAAACCGCGTGCCAGTAGTCCACATAGACCTACGTTGTGGCTGGTACTTGAGACAAAATGCAACATTTTACGACGATGCGATGTCAGCGACGTCGTAATTCCCACTCAAGCCACAATATGTATATATATATATATATCATGGATCAGCTCAACACATCATTTTGAATACTAGCCAGCCATTACAAGCGATATCACGTACTGTGAGAAAGTAAAGTATACACTAAGATACATCGAACATACTAAGAGTGGATCAAATATACTGAAATTTCACCAGGAGTACCGGCAGTTTGTACGCCGTCCACCGTGCAATGTTTCAAGACACGTTGCCTATGTGCTATCGAATGTCATTTGAACATATAAAGAAAAGTAATCACATTCGAATTCGACGATTCGGCACTTAGTGTCATCGACATAGCCAAGCCAATACCGAAACATGTAACATGCCATGTATATATAAACAACATATATATATATACATAAAACACTATATATATTATATAATATATATATATAAACTACCTCATCCTCCTCATCCTCGTCAATCCATTTCTTGAAGTCGGTCTTCACGAAGTGAAGTTTACCCTTGTTGATAAGACGAGGCCAGAATTCGCCCTCCTCCTTTCGCCACAATTGCAATAGCAAGTGCATGTTGTTCTTGATGTATTTACTCTTCTCAGGATCGATCTCTCCGTATAAGTCGAGGTCGAAAGCGTACTCCTTCTTATCGGCTCCTCCTTTACCACTGAAAATCAACTGAGTAGCAAAAATAGAGGACGAGATGGAGAAAAAAATTAAGAGCAAGATACATTTTTTGTCCTCTAAAGTAGTGGTAGTGAGATTGAGTTGGGGGGAAACGTAAATACCGGTATTAAAGTTATCAAATACCGGAATAAAAGTTATTAATTATTGGTATAAAAGCTATCAAATACCGGTACAAAAGCCATCAGATATCGGAGAAGATACTTGAGTATGTATAGTAGCATAGCAGCTTATAACATACCGGAGCATCTCAGTGCCAGGTAAAGAGATACGAATACAAGGAGAAAACAATACCTTGATATTCTATAGCCAACCACAACATTTTGATAAACGTATATCCATTGTTGGAGAAATCAGCGACTTTGTCAACAGAAAGGGCAAGAAAAATACAGATACCGATCAATCGGCAAAGATACGCACATGGTCTCGCGATGATAGCCTCGGTGATAGTGTACCCTATAGTGGTTGCGATGAAAGTGGACCGTAGGCGTGGTGTGGACAGAGTACAACAAACTAATGCAACTTGCAAGGTAAGCGAAACATACCACTATATACTTGAAGCATGTATTTTGCATCCAGCCAACATTATCTTCAAATTTTCGGCGGGTGCGATATCAACGGTAATGCACAGACAAAACCACCATTAAACTTGAGCGTGTAGAACACCCTACTATCAGGATATACAACCAAATTTGCAGTCGATATCATAGCAAATCAACATTACAGAACACAAATACCATTTAACTGAAGACACACCTTCTTCTCTAAGAATTGGACTTTCTCATCCTCTACATCTGACAATTCGATCGTGACGTAGATGCGATCTGAGCGCGGTGCCCATAGTACGATTGGCAAAGATCTACAAAATAATAAATAACGCATTAATTTTCATATACAAATGTGTGAGTGTTCGAAAATATATACATATATATATATACATACATATACGTATACATATATATATATAAGACGTATATATATATATATATATACAAATATGTACATGTACATGTATATCTATATATTTAAATATATCTAAATATATGTATATATATATATCATTATATATATATATATATATACATCATTATATATATACAAGAGTGTGTATGTATAGTTAGATATATAGGCATAGATATGTTATATCTATTTATTGATAAATGTAAATGTGAACGTATATATAAAACATCTATATACATACACACACATATATATATATATATACATATATATTTATGTAAATATATACTTTATATACATATATATATATACATATCTACCTATAATACATGTGTGTATATAAAAGTATGTGAATATGTAAAGATATATATATATATATACAAATACACCCATATATATATATATATAAAAATATATATATATATAAATATAAATATCTATATAAATATCTATATAAATATATATATATATATACATGTACAAAAATACATAAATATATACATGTACAGATTCATTTACATATATATATAAATATATACATGTACAGATTCATTTACATATATATATAAATATATACATATGAAAGTATACAAATAAATATATATAAATATTTATATGTGTGTGTGTGTGTGTGTGTGTGTGTGAGTGTGTATATATTTAAGTATATAAGAATATATAAATATAAATATAAATATATTTATATATATATATATATGGGTGTGTGTGTGTATACACGTGTGTGTATATATTTATATTTATTATATATATATATATATATATATATATATTTATATTTATAACATATATATATACATATATATTTCTATATTTCTATATATATATATATATATGCGTGTGTGTGTGTGTGTATGTGTGTGTGCGTGTGTGTATTTATGTATGTGTGCGCGTATGTGTATATATATATATATAAATATAACTATAAGTATAATTTTTTATATATTTATATATATAAATGTATATATATATATATATATAACTATATTTATATCTATATATATATGTCTATATGTATATATATATATCTATATCTATATATATATAGATATATGTGTGTGTGTATATATATATATATATATATATATGTGTGTGTGTGTGTGTGTGTGTAAGTATGCGTGTGTCTATATAAATATTTATATATATATATATATGTGTGTGTGTGTGTGTGTGTGTGTGTATGCATTATATATATTAATAAGAGTATGTGCGTTTGTTTGTGTGTGAATATGTATAAATTTCAGACACTTGTTTTGATAAACCATCCTGTACAATTAAATTGATACAATTGATAGAAAGAACCCCTCTGCGCCGTTGATTGAAAAAGCCGTGTTACTCAACGTGAATTGCAGTCAGTAATCGATATCCTTGAAAAAGGCGTGCGTGTCGCTAGAACGTTCTAGTTGAATCATCACAATGTTTAGTCACACCATTAGATTCTAAATTATCATATAAAGTAAACTATCACTGCTGATACACATTTTATGGTCTACAGTGATCCCATCTAATCAACGCAAACAAAGTCAGCAACAGCTGGGCGCAATCGTATTCGAGTACGCTGTTGTCTATGTGGTATTGCGCGGATTTATTCACAGGCAGTGTGTGAGACATACAAACATGTTATATCACGTACAGTCCAGAGTTCAACTTAAAACATACGTCATTTTGGGTTCTTCGATGGTCATTGGATTACTGTGTCTGAATGTGTTTTGTAACCTACAAGTATGTCGATTGGCGAGGATCGTATACAGTGTCTTTCATTTTCTCTCTATTTATTTACACATAAATTTAACAGCGGCGACCCACGTTCGTGAAGTGTCATTACTCATCTGCAAAAGTTCTATTTTTAGATCCAGTCAGGAAAATGGCCAGGAAGGCGACAAGCACATTCGTGCGGTGGGCACAGACTCACATAGACTCACAGACCAGTCACAACTCACCGTTGAATGCATGTGGGGTCATGATGAGATGTTCGGTATGCTCGGCAAAGTACAGGAAAATACGACTTTGGGACTGGGCCTCGGCCACTCAGGAAATTCTACCCACTAAACGTTGAACTTTGAACGTATATACCATATTTCGGTCCAGTATATATGAGAATGAGTCAGGTTAAGCATGTCGTCAAATTCTGTCCTTATACTCGCTCGTTTATTGATCTATACGGCATTTTGTGACCAACAATATTCTAGTAGGTGCACTAGCTAGGTCGCGCGGACCGATTTTTTTAGGCCAATATAGAATGAGTGTACGTTCCTACGTTTTAATTCACCCGTTAAACGTTATTAAATGAACGTATAAACCCCTATGGTGGAACGTTATGCGTTGGGAGTGATGGGACTCGAGAACTTCGCGGAGGACAAAGTAACGAACTGTTCAAACTTTTCAAATTGGCGAGGTTTATATATATGTTGTTGTTTTGTTTTGTTTTTAAATTGGAAAGAAAACACAAAAACGAAGGCACAGCCCGTCTATTCAGGAGGCTAAATATTTATGCATCATGAATATAGGGGTGCTAACTTAAATATATCGTGAAAGTTATAGCAGCTACTGTCCTTTGTAAACTGATTTAAATATGTCGTCCTCGAGCGTACATATCATTACTTCGTGTGATACAGACTCCCTCATTGTATTCGTCTGCGTATTAATTTTTATTGTCTAGTAGTATATGTAATCCCACCCCTGTGGCTATATATTTTGATTTCAAATCTAAAATTTGTCAGCTTTGTGAGGTCTGTGTTAGCTCCATGTTTAATCTCTATCGTAAATGTCATAGCTGCTACTATTCTCGGTGAATCCATTTATCTCGTCGTCGAGCGTAAGTGGCATTGCATCATGTGTTACTGGTTCCCTCAGTGTTGTAAAGTCGACCGCTTGTGAGGGATCGGCCTTTTGTGAGCTGGTTGGGCCGCAGAGAACGTACTTTTAGTGAAGAGTCACATATTTTACAATGCCACTTGCACTAATTGATTCTATCAGTGCCGGATCGAGAATACCTATCGGTCCTGTTATGCACAACTTAGCGAAATACTGAGTATATGGTAAGAGCTAACTCGCTTAGAAGCCTGTTTCCAGATACAATGCTGGTCAAAAAATTCTTGCAGGCTATGCTACGTAAGCTGCATTAAAGCCGCATGAGCGTCTACAGGTGAAAGCACAAGTATTTCGCGGAAGTGTTTATATGGTCACTGGCCACTTGAAACACCAGGGGTTAGAGAGTATATGTTAAATTCGGATAGAGCAATCAATACTAATTGTGTACCGGTTTTACAAGTATCAGATACGGAAGCGTACAGCGGACTCACCATATGCCGCTACATACAAATCGATTCTCAAGGCACGCCACTAAGGTCTACTAAGGTCTACCATAACACTACACGAAAAGAATACTTGCACAATAGAAACTTACTTTTTCAATAGCATGAAGATTCGTAGTATTTGGGCTAAATTTCTGACGATCAAAACCGCGAGCCCAAAATCCTGCAGGAGGTAAACAATATCATACGATGGAAAAAAAATCATATATCTCTTAATGAGTTTGGAATATAATACCACCATTGTCTGGCGAGAGTGCATATCGAAGGAAGGAGTTCATCATGATCGGGATAAAGGTGCCTCATAGATAGCTGACCAGTGTGGAATTGCAAAAAAACCAACACACTTGCTTACCTCTTCTATGAAGGCTTCGTCTTTATTGACGCTCCCGAGGGTGTGAACGTACAGACCTAATGATACTATCATCAGAATTATGACAACTATGTCAAACCGGTTGGACCATGACAGGAAGTATTTCTGCGGAACCAAACGAAATATTTCAGCTCAACTGATTATAACTCGAGCACGTACTTGTTTCTGCGAAGCTGCATAGTTTCATCTTGAATGTGCATCGACTTACGTACAGCAACAATGAGTCTGACTGAATTGTCTGTTCAGAGAGAGTTCCAAAGGGCTATAGGTGTGGCTGTTCGACAAGCCAATTCAAAGCCCATTATTGTATTGTATGCGGCCGAATAGTATATTCTCAACGCGACTTACCTTTGAACCCATAGCTAGATACTTCAAGCACATCTCCGCCAAAAGACTACCAATGATTATGGCCTCAATAAACCAGAAGACTATCGTATCTGGAGATGGATCTACCAGTGTCTGTGTGAACAATAATAGACTAAATACATTAAATCATGCCATACACATTACGGCCTAGTGATTGGATAATATCAGCTGCAACCTTTCATGCTTTAGATAGCCTCGTACCTTGTCGATCAGCAAATCATAATTCAAGGCGACATTACGAAAAGCCAGCGAATATAACACCCGCCGTCAATACTCGACAAAAGTCCAATCTAAAGGCGGTTGTCATTCTTACCCAAATAACCTGGCAGATGCTCAGCCCTACTATCATGATATAGATCATGAAGCATGATGTCGACATGAGCAAACGATTCGCAGCCAGGACCCAGTTGTCTGCCATACGATCTGTGGAGTTTGCATATGGGCCCCTAGTAGTCGTCAACAATTTTTGACACAAAATTGAGACATGTTCACATAAGCAGGATGTGATAGCCGACATGATGATTAAACCTTTTCCAATAAAAAGCCGAGAGAAACCTATCCGGTAAAGTGAAGGCAGGCACAAATATAGTTTTAGGTAGGTAAACACGTTAAAGCAAGACTACATCGGCGGTACCTCAAATATAAGCATTCAAGTCAAGCTCAGTACCTTTTACGTGCATAAGTAACAGGCTAGTATATATAGTTCTGAGATGAAAGGCCAAGTACATATGTACATATATAAATATATATATATATATATATATATAATGTGTGTGTGTGTGTGTCTGTATATA